TTTTTTTTTTTTTTTTTTTTTTCATAATTCTCACTTGTTTCATTACACGTAGAAAGGGGATTAACCGTTTCCCTTTAGTTACTTAACCCCTTAAATTTTACCTCCGTTACGCATTACGTTTGTCGCGTGGTTACCGAATTTAAAATTTCCATCTTCGTAACGTTATGGCGGCTAAATTTTGCATGTTCAAATCTCTTCTCGCGAATAAAGATATTTTTATCGCCGAAGAAACAAATAAATTTTATCAGCGCGTTATAATAAATGAAATAATCGATCAAAGAAAATGAACTTTATTCCGATACATTCACTTAAAATTTACCATGCTTTTAAGGGATTAAACGCGAAGCATCGTAAAATTCAGTTTATCCTTGATACACTTCGTTTGTGGAGGAAAAGAACGAAAGGAAAAAAAACCCCACTACACGTAAACGTAACACGGTTTCGCCAAAAAAAATTATATTTCTCTCGATTAATGAATAACCGCAATTAAAGTTATTATCCCTCAAATCATTGCGAATCATTACTTTTCTAGATCAGATCTCGAAATCCTCGTCGTTAACAAATAAACCAAAATAAATAAATAAATAAAAAGTACCAATTTTTCAATAAACCACCCAAACCATCCAACATCCAAAATCAACGAAAACACCTATCAAAACTTATCACTAATCAGCGATACGTTGATGATGTCGCTTCCAATGATCTATGAACAAAAAAAAAAAAGGGAAAAAGGAAAAACCAAATAAAAACGAAAAATAACCAAAAAAAAAAAAAAAAAAAAAAACAAAAAAAAAAAAAAAAAAAAAAAGAAATTTAATTCCTTCCACACGCGAATCTCAAACACCGGGGAGTGTGTCCCGGTCAACTCGACGAATTAATTGAAAAATCGAAGAGCGGGGCGCGCGAGTCGTGAAAACAGCGTGAAAACGTCATGAAATTCGGGGTTAACGTTGCGGCGATCATAGGACACGTGACGAGCGTTGGACGGGCACGTGAACCCCTCCCCTCTCCCCACACTCCCCTCCTCCTCTTCCTCCTCCCCTCGTTGTCCCGCAACCATGCGCTCTTTCCAAGGTGAACACACGGAGCCGCTCATTAATGCTCGTCGATCAAATCGATTCGCGATTACACCGGCTGCCACGTGACACGTTCACAAAAGACTAGAAAAGAATGGAACTAGGCGCGACAACGGCGAAGGAGGGAGGGAGGGAGAGAAGGGATAAACGTCGTAAAACTCGTTTCGTTATTGAAACGAGCTTCATAATCATCCCATTCGGAAAATATCGAGCGCCGTGTCGTACGTTGAATTTACAACGTAATTCCGTTGATTCTTCCCCGTTTTGATTCCTTCGTTTATCTCTTTTGAACGAGAGAGAGAGAGAGAGAGAGAGAGAGAAAAAGAGGGTGTGTTTGTTTTCCAAGGGATTTCTATATAGGGAATATATAGGAAGCGATAAACCTGTTCGTAAGTACCGCTGTTCAGAGTAGACGACGTAAATGTGTAATTGAATAAAAATTTTAATCTGAAGAGTCAACTATTGTGTACATATAATATATATTAGAAAAAAATGAACTTGCGTTTTAGGATGAAAATAAAGGGGAAAAAATTTCATCGAGGGTGGAATAATTCACTCGAACTGTATGTGTGTAACTCACCCTCGGGAATCCACAGGTTAAGAACCGATGTGTTAAAAGAGATCGAGAAAGAAAACGAGACAAACTTGAAAAATTAATCAAAGAGATAAATGGTTTTATTTTAATCTTCTTAACGGTTCGAACGCGTGCAACGAAATATACGATATAAAGATGAGTTAAAGGAAAAAAACTTGTTATTATTATTATTATTATTATTAAAGTGACGCAGATTAAGAACATTTATCCGGCCGCAAACAGTTGACATACCTATATCGAATCACGACCGGTAAACAGCAACATCAGGAGCGCGCGTCTATTACGCGATTTCGACAGATTAGTTTCAATAATTCAACGAATGCGATCAAATATGTACAGTAATCAACATTACGGAGATCGACACACAATCGGAGCATCTATTGCAAAGCACCGATATAACGGCCTAATTGCATCCGAGCTTACTAACAACATTACCCCGGTGCACAAATTAATACTCTATTTGCACAATGGTGCTTCATCTGCCGATATATTATCCGTCTTTTATATTGCGTTCCTCGATCGTATATATATATATATATATATATATATTTATATACATTCGTTTCGTATTTTCGATCGATCGAAAATAACGAGGAGATCCAGCTCCAGTTTTCCAATCGAGGATCACCTCTCACCCCTTCCTCCCCGTAGCATCCGATAATTTCTTCGTAAACGCATCAAGATTTTTCTCACGATTATCATATGATACCGAAACGTTATCAAATACGTAAAAACCTTCGTTATTCGTTTCGGTATCCCCCATAGAATTACAGAGAAAAATTAAATGGAAAATTTCTTATTTACGATGATCTTTATTTACGATTCTTTTTCTTTTTTTTCCAGTAATATTCCCGGTTTTTCCGATAGAGAACGATAGGACGTCGCAGGGGCGACGCGACATGCATCTAAAGCTTCGATCCGAAAAAAATGTCATTATTCCCACGGGGGACAGAAAGATGGAAAACTGCCGCGTCCACGTCAGTTCGATTTCGGCGTTTCGGTCCGAGTCGGGAGGTGGCGGAGAAGAAGGGTGTGCGACGAGGGGAAAAAAAGAAAAAAGAAAAAAAAGAAAGAAAGAAAGAAAGAAAGAGAGAAAAAAGCCAGGGACGGAAAAACCGACAAAGAGGAGCCGATGGACGGAGATAGGAAGAGGAAA